TGACAGCACCAGGCATGCATGTGATACATACAGACACATGCAAGCAAAACACTCAGACACATGAAAAAAAAAAATCCAGACAGGATTTCATATTAGAACCCAGGCAGGCCCTGAACGCAAGATAATCCTTATGCCCCAGCTAAGATCACAGATGTGAGCTACTACACTTGACTTAAACTCCATTGAAGAGAAACTGAACACGCCTCCTTTCAGTCTACACACGGCAAAGCCCATGGTGGCTTTAAAACACAGTGGCAGGCCATACTGTGTTTCAGGACAGTCCTACAGATGCTTCCCTTCCTTTGGGGAACCCACTATGGATCAGCATCTGTGGGGTCTCCCTCAGACAAGCTAAAGCGGGGTCCTTGGTCTCTAGCTCTTCCCACACTTTTCTGCCTCCTACCCACTCCACGGTGCCTGCTGAATGCCCACTATGGCATAGTAGGCTATGTGAATGCTGGCCTGCCCTGGAAATGTTGGGTCTAGAGGGGGCTGCTGTCCTAGGAACCCAGACCTAGACAAGGGCTGGTCTAGGTTATCTGTAATATAGATAATATAGCTGCTGTAGACTCTCCTACCTGCAGATCTTGCTCCTCAGCCCAGAGTAATATTCCACATCTGGCTGGTCTCCTCGATTCTGCTGACCAACTGTCTGCCAGGTGAGCATGAGACCTCCCTGCGGTGAGCCTCACTGAAGCTCGGCTGAAGTTGTGGGACTCAAGTGGTCACCACTGATCCCACATGGGAGCAAATGGGGGAACAGCCCTGGTGACTACGCCCGTTAGCTCAGGAAAAGGGGCAGGTGTCCTTGGCAGCAACAAGGATTTATGAGCATTACACAGTCGCCATGTAAGACTGTCCCCCACGTGCCAATCAACTCTGCACTGTCAGAAGTTGGCTAGTGCTTCCACTCCCCGCCCCAATCAGGCCTTGTATCAGCCCAGCAGACACACAGCAGGGCACTGCGGGACTCGGGGTGGTGAGCTCTCTGTGGGTTTCTCTATGAGAACATTTGGCACTTTACAGCCATGCCTTTTAATCTGTCTCTTCTAAAGTGTCCCTCTACCCTTAAGTGGCTTCCAGTGTCCATTAGCTGATCCACAAAGGGAGAGGCTAGATGGCAGCTGTCTGCTTCCTTCCGCTTCCACAGGACCTGGGTCCTGTGAGTGCTTTCACAGGTCACAGCCATGGCCATGGTCCCACATGGGCTGCTGGGGCTGTTTTATTCCTATTTCCCAATCTGGTGCCCCCTGAGTGACCTGCATCTGTTATCTGAGGAGGACAAGGCCTTTCCCCTCTGTCTGCCTGAGCCCTGGAGCTGGCTCCGTGAAAAATCCCCAGATGGGAGGGTGTGAGGTTGGTGGGCAGTCGAATGCTACTGCCTGGCTCACCAGATCAGTCAGGGGGTGGCACACAGGAGAAATCCCCACATGTCTCTGGGATGTGTTCCGCCTCTGGTGGCATCTGGGAGCACACCAGATGGCGCTGGAAAGCCCACCTAGGTTTGGAGTCTGCAGCTGCCTGTTAAGGTTGCCAAGGAGGCTGGAGACTCAGATGGTCTGAAGACCTGTCAAATCCTGGAGATGAGTGTACGGATCGTGGACACACATGGCATGGCTCCTCGTATGTGCCTGCTGCCACACTCCACAGACGTCCTGAAAACCTGCACCTCCAAGGTGCTGCCTGCCCTGTGCTCACTGCAGCCCTGGCGCGCCCAGAAGCCTGGAGATGCTGAAGCTCTCCTTGGCAACACTGCTGACGCAGAAACCAGCAGGCGGGCTGGGGGGTGGGGGTGGGGCAATGGCTCCTTCTCCAGGCATGGGGATGGGAGGGGTACCACAGCCTCTGTGAGAGGAAAGATGAGAGGGCCTTGGAGCTGAATAGAGAAGGAGAGCTCTGACGAGTGGTGTACACAGCCTTGGCACAAGCCCCAAACTTCATTGAGCTTTCGCAAAAAGTAGTGCGGTCTGTTTTGGTCCGAGTCCTTGTAGGGGCTGGGACTTGCAGGGCATTCCGAGGAGGGGGAGGAGGCAGCTGGTGGCAGCCCAGGCTCAGCATCTGGCTGAAGGGAGAGGTGAGAGGTGCTCACTGTTGGCACCGGCAGGGCAGCGGGTGGGAGGAACGAGAGGAGGGCACTGTCTTTCCTTGGCGGCCTGTTTGTTTTCTATCGTCAGATATTACTGGTGGAGCATGAAAGGTCAGAACCATCTGGAATCCAGTGAATTCCCAGCTTTGCTAGGGTTTGTCATCAAGAATTTCCTTTTCTGGTGAACAACACTACTTCCTCAGGCCCATGGGGATGAGAGAGAGAGAGAGAGAGAGAGAGAGAGAGAGAGAGAGAGAGAGA